GCAGATGAATTTATGGTTATTATGTTTAAAAATATTTCCATGGTATACAAAGACAAGATATATAACTTATAAAAATAAGACATTTTAAAGGAGGTACTTTCATGTCTATGTGTCATTGAATAACCAGTTTGCAATTTCTCTTTTTGCCAATATAAAGAATAGAAGCTCAGCAAGCTGAGTGATAACAAGAGTTTTACTCCCTAGGGAAGTGTCTAATTTCTGGCTCAAAGTTTCAAAGTTCATGGAGTGCTATAAGCCAGTAAGGCATCTGACAAAGCTCGTATACTTCAGGAAGTAAGCATGTGATTCATTAGGGAAAGAAGCTGTCCTCTCCTCCGTTTTTGTCACAGAATAAAAAAAAGCTTGTGAAATTATAAAGTATTTTTAAAAAATACATATTTTTATTGATTTCAGAGGGGAATGGAAAGAGATAGAAACATCAATGATGAGAAAGAATCATTGATTCCCTGCCTACTGCATGCCCCACACTGGGAATGGAGCCTGCAACCTGTGCATGTTCCCTCTCTGACCGGGAATCAAACCATGACCTCCTGGTTCATAGGTTGATGCTCAACTACTGAGCCACACAAGTTGGGCATTATAAAGTCTTTTTGATATGACAGAGATCTGCCTAAAGGATATCCATTCTATATTTTCAGTTAAATTTTTTTTTTATTTTGCAAAATTATGACTTTGGGGGGAATATTGAAATATTATTTTTTGAAATTAAACCCAGTAAGGAAGATTTCAGTACAAGAATGCTTTTGTCTCATTTGAAGGTGATGTTCCTTATGTTTGCTTAAAAAATATCAGCCTTTAATCTCCTTGGGTAAAGAACATAGGATTTTTTTTTTAAAGGGAAATTTGCTCTTATAGCTCTTTCTAGCCTTACCATCAAACAAGCTTTGTTCTTCAAGAATAATTCACAGTAAATAATGCAGTGCCTCTGAAGGTCCCTGTGGCCTATCAGGATTAATTTAAAACAGAATTCTGACATGTTGATACTTCCAAATTATATTTGGAATCTATATCTCTTTATATTTTTCCTTTTACATTTGTAAAGCTTTTTATTCATCGGTTATTTATTCAGTGGCTTTTATGGGCAAAATAGAGTACTTAGCACCAGGGAACATTTTATAAAGGAATTTTTCATTTGTTCAGTATTTATTAAATGTTTATAGTGTCTATATAGAGCATTGCAGTAAATAATTCCTGGCCTCTAGGAACTTGAACTCTATTGTATTCGAGGGAGAGTGGATGAACACACAGGATATAAGGAAGCAGCAAGGTAGGAATTAAACCTTGAGTAGTTAAGTTCATAGCTGGTCAGATCAGTGCGTGAGTGAGAATGATAGTCAAAGGTGGCATGGAATAGGTAGACCCTGAAATGGTCTCTGGAAAGTGTTAGATTTTGAGTGATGTTGGGGGAATGGAAGGGAAAATGACCTAGGGGTGGTAGAGCGCCCCAATGGGGACTCAAACCATGGCCTTCTGGTTCATATGCCAAAACTCAACCACCTAACCACACTGGCCAGTGATTTAAAAAAAATATATATTTTATTGATTTTTTTTTACAGAGAGGAAGGGGGGGGGAGAGAGAGAGAGAGAGAGAGAGCTAGAAATGTCGATAAGAGAGAAATATCGACCAGCTGCCTCTTGCACACCCCCTACCGGGGATGTGCCCGCAACCAACATACATGCCCTTGACCGGAGTCGAACCTGGGACCCATCAGTCCGCAGACCAACGCTCTACCACTGAGCCAAACCGGTTTCGGCTGGCCAGTGATTTTTATTCATTTTTTAAATTAACCATTTCATCCTAGAACCACCAGTTTCTGGATGTCTCTCTAAAATGCTTTTAGCTTTAACCTGATGTTTTGTGGAAGTGGAAGTATACGGTAGAGGAGTTTGTGATTCATCTTGCCCTAAAACTGGTTAATGTTGTTCACAGTGGGCTTACTGTCCTTCAACAATCCATTTAATTTTGACTAATGATGTTGAGTATTATTTTGAAATATTTAAAATATCTTGAGGAAATATAATGTATCTTTTCACCATTCTTTATTCAACAAAGTAATTTTTGTTGAAAAACCAGTTCTGCCTGATACTTTGAGATCTGTGAATATGTAAATAGGTAGCCACCTGGAACATGACTAGATTCAGTTTTATCTTTACTCTGTAGCTATGACTAGTGTGGCACTTTTACCTCAGATTTTCTAGAATTGTCCTCTAATTGAACTGATGGAATTGATTTTGGAGACAATATGGAATTAACCTTTGTAATTCCATTATTCTCATTCCATCCCTACTCTCTGCAACTCTGGCAGTTACCCTGGGCTGTCTATTTTTAAAAAAAATGTCTTTATTGATTTTAGAGAGAGAAAGAGGGAGGAAGGAAGGAGAGAGAGATAGGGAGAAACACGGATTGGTTGCCTCCCGAACGCAACCTAGGTATATGTTCTGACTAGGAATCATCCAGCGACCTTTTGGTGCAAGGATGGCAATCTTTGTGTTTCTGATTCTCCCATCCATTTATCAAAGCATAGAGATTGTTCCAGGATTTTATAGCTTCTCATAGCTTTTTAGGTAAGCTTTAATTTCTTTATCTTAATCATCTGTTATCAACCTACTTCTTAAATTTTCATCCTCTTTTCTTTAGATATACTGAGTTATTTGCACCTCCTCAGAACATAATATCCTGTTTTCAGGCTCTTACTTTTTTTACACGCTGATCTTCTTGCTTTCTCTAGCTAACATTCAAGTGTTAGTTTTTCCTTTTCTTAAAAGTTGCCTCTCTAAAAAGGGTGTCTCACCTTAGCTGCCAGGCAGTTCAAGAGGCTAGTGCTTCTCAGAGCTTCTTGCTTTGTTCAGCTGCTGCCAGTGGGACACCACTTCCTTTACAGGGTCTTTGTATGGAGGTCTGGGGCGCAATCCCAATGACAGAACACTGCCCCCACAGCTTGGCTGTGAGTGGAGATGTGGTGAGGGCAAGCCTTTATCTCTCACAGGTATGGCTGGATCAGACTTTTGATAAGAGTTAGAATAAATTAAGGGAATTTAGTATAGAACATTTAAAATAATGTCTAAAATACATTTTTTCCTGCCCAAGATAAAGAATGGAAGAAGTAGAATCTTTCAGAGAGTACCCTTTGTGTACTTCCTTCACTCTTTTGTACTCAGACTGTACCTCTGAGTGTCCTTACTCACTCTACACCTTTGGGCACCTCTCCTCCAGCCTCAGAAGTTGCTTTCTCAGCAGTATACAGTATTTCCACATGTTTGTATTCTTTTGGCTATCGCCCATCAACATTGTCCATGCTAGGCTTTGACACCAGATCTTGCAGAGTAGTCAAGAGTTTGCATGATTTTCTCCAAGCCTTACCACTTTGAGGCCTTCCTGCCAATGTAAGTTTTGTAAATGCCTTTGGTTTTTTAGCTGTTCATGGCTAACGATTGAATCAGACACACGCTCTCTGTGACCCTCTCCCAAAGATCACCATTACATTTTAGGCAGAGTGCATCCTGAACCAATAATACAGAGAAGAATTTCCTAATGCCCACATAAAATGCAGTTAGTGCTTTTCTTTGCCATGTAGTATATACAGAGCACGATTTTTCTCTGTCTCTCGTTGACCTCCTTATTCAAGTTGAACCTCTTTGGCCTGCTTTTAAAAAGAAAGAGGTCCATCGTCAAATCATAGCAGCTCCCCTGCCTAAGAAAAGATCCAGATGGAATCATGGGCTCCCTGTGCCGGGTCGCTGACCGCGCAGGGAGAGAATTGCTGAAAGGCATTTTCACATGGTTGAGGGGTCCAGCTGTCACTCCCAACCCTGGAGCTTTCACACACCAGCTAAAAACAGTCCAAATTTTAAAGCTGTTAAAGGGTTACAAGGACTACATTAAATTATTATAGGGTAGCTATGGCTAGCTTCCTTACTGGTAGAGCACTTTTTTTTTTTTTTTAAACAACAACTCCTACTTGTTCTTTACCATAAGCCTCCAAAAGCCTGTTAATGTCATTTTGTGTAAACTCCCTTTTGTACACCGCTGGCAGTCTGGCATAGCTCTGTCTTAGCACTGTACCGAAATAATTGGTTTACTTGACTGTTTTCCTAGCACATGGAATTTAGTGTGTAATCAATAAATGTTCATTGAATGATAAATGAGTCTGTAAAGGAAATCTGGATGTTATGTTCTAAAATTTATTCTGCCTCAGCACTTCCTTAATGATTAGGCATAAGATTTCATAGAGAGCTGGTTTATTTTTTAGTGATTAAAATACAGAGTCCGCAGTTAAAATTTCTTTGTGTTTCAAATTAAGTTTTAGGATGTTAAGTGCCTTTAATTAGGAAAAAAGGATCAGATTGCTGCTGAGGCCCAGCTTATAACTAGCATTTCCTCTCACTATGGGAGCTGTACTTTGTACAGATTTCTGTCTTGGGAAGGTAAGAAAGAAACTGAAGAATAAGACTATGTTCTGAGAGTCAGTTCCTTCTCATCTAGTAAATGGCGGAAAGTCAAGTGCTATTTGTTGTATCATTGATTGAAACCTTTGCTTATTTTTGCAAAAGTAAAGTCTTCATATATATATATATATATATATATATATATATATAGCCTCTATTGACGGTGTAATTTCTGTTTAAAAGCAGGAAATAGAAGCTAGTGAGGAATGGAAGAGGAGAAATTATGAGAAAAGGGAGATGAGAAATTTTCTTTTTCTAAATATGTGTACATATTCATGTGTACAGGAAATTCATGAATTACTTTTAAATTTATGTGTTCTATTTTATATAAAACTTCTTTGTAAGAGGGTTTAAAAAAATCAATGTGCATATTCAGATCTGTTTGGCCTGCTGTTGCTCTATCATACTATGTATTTGTTGGATATTTTAAAACGATCTTTTGAAGAAGTGGTTGTCAGCAAAAGTTTTTCTTCCTACTAACAGGAATTAATAAAACACCGGTTTGTTTCATATGATGACTTTTCTCCTTATAGAAATTTCAAGAAATTGCTGAAAAAAATATGGACAAATTGAACCACATTGAGAAGTCACACGAACAGTTGGTTCATGAAAACTCTCGCATCAAAAATGTGTTATCACAGACCCAAAAGGAACAAACATCCTTGCTGGCAGCCTGTGCCCTGATGGCTGGTGCCTTGTACCCTCTCTACAGCCGGTCGTGTGCCTTATCTACACAGAGAGATTTTCTCCAGGATCAGGTCAACACCTTCGAGTTGTTCAAATTGGAAATTAGAACTCTAGCCCAGGCTTTGTCAGCTGTAGACGAAAAGAAGCAAGAGGAAGCCAAGATGAAGAAAAAAACATTCAAAGGATTGATACGTGTATTCCGGAAAGGTGTTATTGCAATTTTGGCAGCAAACAGACTCAAGGTTTTGGGCCAATCGTGTGCTTCTCTTTTTACCTGGATGGAGAGTTTTAAAGACGGCATAGGCATGTTGGTGTGTACAGGAGAACCCAAAGACAAGCATAAATTTCCAAGTAAGACAATTTGTGCTTTTTGAAATTTAAGTTGAATGTAAGTGACATGCAGTATGAATATGTTTTGCTACTATGCAAAAACTTAAAGTCATTTAATGTGTAGTCATGTAACATAGTCCCATACATATGGACAAATATATTTATGTATAAGCTAGATTTTGATTTTTTGTTATGAACATTACATTATGAAGAAAGTAGCAAGTCTGTATAATTTCAACTTTGCCTTGCTTTATTAGATTTGAATGCTCTTTTCACAGTAAAGTGAAGAGTTTATACAGCAGTTTTTCAGTTAAGTCAGTCCAGAGACTGCCCTACTTAAAATTAATTAACAGTATAATTTATTTTCACTTTCTATGAATCAGTATAAAATGATCAGAGTTAAAAATCTATTGAAGAGCTCAATGAAAGGGATACAAATATAAAATTTTCAGCTAACATACTTAGAATGTTTGACTATTCTGAAGAAACAATGATTTCAATTTTAACTTTTGAAAAGCAAGCTATTAAGTAATATAAGTAGAACCAAAGAAAATTTCCTTCTTTGTTTTGTCAGTTAACAGTCACATATAAATAAAGTCAATCAAATCTAATATTTCTTATAGACTTTTCTGCCCCAGGCAAAGTTCTGTCTGCAAGTTTTGATCTATTTCTTAAATGGCTAAACATTGCCATGCATTTTTAACATGATTTTAATAATTTTTTTGTAGCGTTGCATGATGAATTTTTTTTCTATTTTTGTAGAACATCAAAAGGAGCAGTTACGCTGTTTGCAAGCGCTTAGCTGGCTCACCAGTTCTGACCTTCTTGCTGCCATAATCACTTCCATGGCTGAGTTACAGGAAGTCATTAGTAAAACAGGTATGATTCCCTCTTTTATGCCCTCTCAAAATACATTTAAAAGCAAATGTCAAAAAATGCTTTATTGTACAAATTCTAATAAACAATTTAGAAAGAAAATATTTTATTCTCATCTTTTTTTTTTTCTCTCAGGTAAGGGAGATTGTTGAACCTATTTTAATGAAGTAGAAAATTAGTGTAATTTTTATTATTTATTTATTTATTTATTTTTCTTTATTGTTTAAGGTATTACATGTGTGCTTATGCTACCATTGCACACACCCCCCTTCCCTCCCGCTCATGCCATCACCCCCCTGTCTGGTGTCTATGTCCATTGCTTATGCTTATATACATGCAAACAAGTCCTTTGGTTGATCTCTCCCCTTTACCCCCACTCTCCCTTACCTTCCCTCTGAATTTGACTGTCTAGAATAAGTGTAAATTTTGATGAGTAATTTTGTCTTTATTTATGGTAAAATTAAATGATATTTCTTGGTAAATATAGCCACTTTATTTTTTTCCCTTTGAGATCTGATTTTTCTATAGAAAGCTCATCATTAGCTTTTTTATTTAAATAATTCTGGTAATATTATTTCAAATGTTTTAGTCTTTTTTCATTTCTCTTTCTGACTATAAATTTTAGAAGTTTGAGTAATAACTGAATCAGTAGAAAATTTTTCTCTCTCATTTGGTGATGTGTTTCTATTTTTTTCTAATTAATTTTAAAGGAAGTTAATTTGAATAGTCTGTTTCTACCATGTATGGAACCACATATAATTTGTAATTTCCAAAGGTCTCAAATTCACATTTGTTTTTCATGACTAAGATTGCATGATATGTTTGTGTGAAAAATTCAATAAAACTAATTTTTCTATGCTAGAAGAGAAATTAGTCACCTACTGGTTAAACTAGATATGTCATTTGAGTAAGTATTGTCATTTCAGACATGTTAATAGTGCAAATAGTATAATGAACTTGTTAACACTTGCCTGCTTAATAAATGTTATAAGCATTAATGAAATAATAACTTGGGATGTGATTTAAATTTTTAGACAACTTTGTTATATAAATACAGATCATTTATTGCGATTTCAAATATCTAAACCTAAACATAGGCTCTTGTAGAAGGAAATTTATGATTCAGAGATTATTTTTAGATTGTGGTGATTGATGTTGGTAAGCATTATACTTTTTTAATGTATTGCCTCAACGTATTGGATTTGGAATCTTGAAAGTCTAAATAAATATGTTTTAAGAATGTTGATAATTATAACTTCAAAACAAAACTAATATTCTTGAAAGAAGTTAAAAAATTTTGGATTTATTTTAATAAACATTATTTGTGTTAGTTTTATTTCAGTAGGTATGTGGACACTTAAAAGTAGATTGGATTTTTTAAGTTCTAATCTTATTTTTATATTATTACTTTATTTAATATATTTTTTCCTTATTACTCTAGGAGATAAAAGAAAAATATGTGGCTTGATTTGGCTCTCTAGCAAACATGCGCAGTGGTTATAGAACAAGATAACAATTCATGAACAGTGTTAGGCAAAATGTAATGAAGGGTTGGATGGAGCAGTACAGGCTTTAAATGTAAACATCCATGAACAGTGCAGTGCAATGTGGGCATATGAATGCTTCGGGGCAGAACTAGTAATTTAATTGGGCCTAAAATGAGAGTAAGTTAGAGAAGAGTGATAGCCTTCAGAAGAAGGGCATAGCTCAAGCAGAGATGCACAAGTGTAAGCACAGAATAGGGAGAAGGAACATTAAAGAGGTGAAAATGGAAATCCATGCCTAGCAGACCTGGCTTATTGATGGCGATTACTAAAGTATATTTTCTAATAACCATATTGGGGAATTGTTGGAGAAAGTTTGATCATTGACATGGGATCAGACTGTAGAGGTTTTATAAGAGTAGGTAGTGGACCCTGTTAAAATATTGACACAGTGGTTCTGTGCAGGTAAGACCTACCAAGAGTGGTATCTCTAAGTATCTGCCAGTCTCTAGGAACAGAAAACGGATATTAAAAAAATTGTTTCTTACTTCCCACCTCACCGTGAAAGTAGGGTGTAACATTACTGATAGACACACACATGTACCTGTACACATTTTTAGACTAATAATGATTAATTTTCTATTCTGAAATTGCTAAAGTACCCTACAGTTGTGTCAACATAGTGTAGGGTTAACCAGGGATTCTGCCTGACTTTGAATACTGGTTCTGACACCAGCTATGTGATATAGCAAGTTATTTAAATTCTCTGTGCTTCAGCTTCTTTATTAATGGGAATAGTAATATTACTGATCTCATAGAGTTATTTAGAGAAGTAAATTAGTTAATTTGTTAAGTGCTTAAAGTAGTCTTTGTTTACTAGCTTGCTTGCTTTTTTAGTTAAAATATTATTATGATTTATATTATTATGATTTATGGAATTAACTGACTAATAAAGAATAATACATTAAAATTTTATTAGATCAAGTGAATACATATTAGTTTATCTTAAAATTTCAAGACAATGTACATATCTCATATAGCTCTAACTTTTTAAAACGTGGTTTTATTATAAATTAGTATATAAAGATCATGGAGAAATTTCTTCCTCTGAATATAGTGAAATTGTTGGGAGACATCACAGGTTTGTTTCCTTTGTAACTATTAATAATAGAAGACCCCACTTAGAGTAGCTTAATCATGTAGAGTTTTTTCCCCTCTCAAATAACGAAAGTCTGGAGGTAGGTACAAATCCATACTTCCTTTCTGCTCTGCCATTCTTAGCATTTTCATGTTTATACCTCCTCGTTTTAAGCTGGTTACTCTGCTTTCAGGCATCAGGATTGTTTTTGGCAGGAAGAAAAAGGAAAGGACAGAATGTGAAGGCATTCATACATTGCTGGTAGGAATGAAAAATGATATAGCTGCTTTGGAAAAAAGCTTGGAAACTCCTCAGAATGTTAAATCAATATATATCCAAGAGAACTGAAAACATATCCATACAAAAACATATGCATAAATGTTCATTGCAGCATTATGCAAAGTAGCCAAAAAAATGAAAATAAACTGAAATGTCCATCAAGTAACAAATGGGTAAATACACAAATGATGAAATATTATGGGGCCATAAAAAGGAATGAAGTACTAATACATGCTACACAGGGATGAACCTTGAAAACATTGCTAAGTGAAAGAAGCCAGTCACAAAAGAACACAGGTACACTTCATTTTATTATGGTTCACTTTATTGTGCTTTGCATTTATTGAGTTTTTTTTTTTACAAATTGCTTGTGGCAACCCTGCCTCAGGCAAGTCTACTGGCATCATTTTCTAACATTTGTTCACTTTTTGTCTTTGTGTCACATTTTGGCAATTCTTGGGATATTTCAAACTTTTTCATTATTATTATACTAGAGGCCTGGTGAACGAATTCGTGCATGGGTGAGGTCCAGCTGGCCCACTCCAATGGGGTACCATTGGGCCAGGCCGGCAGTGGGGGAGGGGCAGTGGGCAGTTGGCCGGCTGGCCCCACCACCGATTGGGGTGCTGGGACCAATTGAGGACTGGGCTGAGGGGGGAAGGGGGGTCAATCAGGGCCCAGATCAAGTTGATTGGCTGCCACAGTTCGCATCATAGCCATTGGTCATTCTGGTCATTCTGCCATTCTGGTCTAGGCTTTTATCTATAATAATAAAAGCATAATATGCTAATTAGACTGGACAGCCAAACATCTTCCAGATGACCTTCTAGATGAAGCTGGGGCTGCGAGGACCGAGCCCCCTGCATGAATTTTGTGCATGGGGCCTCTAGGATATATATACAGATTTGTTACCGTATTTTCCGGCATATAAGATGACCCCCTAATTTTACAGTTAAAACATAGGTTTAGGCCTATATTCGCTGTATAAGACTAACCCCCACTTCAAAGAAAAGACTTACTTTGCCTTCAAGATCTGCAGGTAATTTTTGTGCAATTTTGGTCTTTTGCCCCCGATTTTCAGTTGACTTTTTTTCATTTCAAAAGTCGTCTTATACGCCGGAAAATACGGTATGTGATCTGTGATCAGTGATTTTTAATGTTGCCATTGCAATTGTTTTGAGGCTCAACAAACTTCACCCATGTAAGATGGTGGACTTATTTGATGAGTGTTGAGAGTGTTCTGATGTTCCACTGAGCAGCCGTTCCATCTCTCTCCTTCTCAAGCCTCCCTGTTCCTTGAGACACAATAATATTGAAATTCAGTTAGCTAACCCAACAGTGGCCTCTAAGTGTTCATGTGAAAGGAAAAGTCACACGTCTCTCACTTTAAATCAAAAGCTAGAAATGATTAAGCTAGTGAGGAAGGTATGTCAAAAGCTGAGAGTGCCTGTAAGCTAGACCTCTGTGTCAAACAGCCAAGTTGTGAATGCAAAGGAAAAGTTCTTGAAGGAAATGCAGAGTGTTACTTCAGTGAACGTGTGAATGATAGAAAGTGAAAGCAGCCATAGTGCTAATATGGAGAAAGTTTTAGTGGTCTGGATAAAAGATCAAACTAGCTGCAACTATCCCTTAAGCCAAAGCCTAATCCAGAGCAAGGCCAACTCTCTCCAATTCTCTGAAGCCCGAGAGAGATGAGGAAGCTGCAGAAGAAAAATCTGAAGCTCGCAGAGGTGGTTCATGAGGTTTAAAGAAAGAGCCAGCTCATAACATAAACGTTCAAGGTGAAACAGCAGGTGCTGATTTTGAATCTGCAGCAAGCTTCCCAGAAGGTCTAGCTGAGATAGCTAACGTTCATGGCTACACTGAACAACAGATTTTCAATGTAGACAAGACAGCCTTATCCTACTTAATAAAAGGGTAATATGTAAATCGACTGGACAGCAGAATGACTGGTTGCTGTGACTTCCAGGGGGCAGATGCTCAACACAGGAGGTCAGTGTGCTCCCATAGGGGGAGCACTGCTCAGCCAGAAGCCCTGGGCTGAGCTGGCGTGCGCAGCAGTGGTGGGAGCCTCTGCCGCCTCCATGGCAGTGCTAAAGGTG